CTGGGGGGGGGGGGGGGGATGCCCTTCCATCGCCCCCAGCACTCTGGTGGAGCAGAATTGTCCCCGGTCAGCATCCCAGCTTTCTCAGATCACACGCAGAGCTCTTCCCATTCCCTTGCTTGGGATGAGTTTCCCCTTGGCCGTTGTCTCTTTCCTAGGAAAGTAAAGAAATAACGTCTAACAGACGCCTGTGTTGCCTCCAGAAAATAAGCTTGATGGGAAGCCCCAAATCGCACGCTTCAGAGGTGGTCAGGTCTACCCCACCGGCTCACTTGGTGTCCAGCCCGTCCCCACCGGCTCACTTGGTGTCCAGCCCCACGGCGCACCGGCAGCCGCGCCCCGGCCGCCAGGAGAGCGAGCGACTGCGGGGGGTTGTGAAGAGCCTGAAGGGCGAGCGGAATGCCCTGCGCACCCAGCTGCAGGAGCGAGAGTACGTTGTCCCGCACGGCTGGCACCCGGCCACCTCTGGGAGAGGTCCTGCTCCCGCGACTTGCGTAGTTGCTGGACTTGAGCTGTTCTGGGGATTTGGGGAAGGCTCAGCTCATAGCAGTCATCACACAGATACGTTTCTACAATTCTAAAACTTGTGATGTTTTAGTTGTGAAATGAAGGCAGCTTTAGTGGGGAAAAGGAGACACTGATGGGCCGTATTACGTCACGAAAAGCACGGGGCGGAGGGTGCCATTTAAATCTCTTGACACGGAATTCCAGACGGCTTTAGAATTGACTGTGATTGATTCGTGTAAGATAATAGGCCATCCATCAGAGCTCTTGCAGGAGGGTTTAAAGATTCAGTACTGTTTACAACACCTAACCTGCGCATCAAACAAGACACGGGTGCTGGGGCGTGTGGAGTATTCAGTGTGACCATAAGAGTGTGGATGGCGAAGCCTCAAGGTTCTGCTCATTTACCCTTTGTTCTCTAGTGTCTCGCTCTGTAGCCCCCTTAAAACGCTCCTGTCTCCTCCACCCGTTGTTTACGTGTGGCTTCTCCAGTTGCAGTTCTGTCGTGAGCAGGCTAAACCCACGCATCTTCTGAGATGGTGTTTCTGAGAACTTGCTACTCAGAGTGTGGCCTAGGAAGCCAACGGCCTCAGCATCAGCTGGGGGCTGGTTAGAGATGCAGACCCTCGGCCACTGCCCACCCGGGGCTGGTTACCTTGGCCTGGCCCAGATCTCCTGAACCTGACTCTGCATCTAAT